AAGAAGAAGAAGAAGAAGAAGAAGAAGAAGAAGAAGAAGAAGAAGAAGAAGAAGAAGAAGAGATTGGATTTATACCCCGCCCTTCACTTGGAGTCTCAGAGCGGCTTACAAACTCCTTTCCCTTCCCCTCCCCACAACAGACACCCCGGGAGGTGGGTGGGGCTGAGAGAACTCTGACACAAACTGCTCTTTTTCAAGGACAGCTGTGCCAGAGCTTGTGACTGACCCAAGGTCACATCAGCAGGTGCAATTTGAGGAGTGGGGAATCAAACCCGGTTCTCCCAGATTAGAGCCCACACACTTAACCACTACACCAAACAGGCCCTGGCCCTGGTCGAGGACAGCTGGACATCCCTAGGGCCGGGGATCACCACCAGGTTGTTGTCAGTAGAGTGCAAATCTGTGGTAATAATGCAACTGTAAGGATAACTGTAGATCCTACTTCATTCTGGACAGTGATCCCGGAATGATGTCTTCCTTTTAACAGGCCGACTTGCTAGCAAAGCACCTGCAGAAGAAGAAGTGACCCCTTGTGCGTTTCTGAAGGCGTCACGCAACCGAACAAACGGCCCACCTCTCTTTGCCTCAATGTGCTCCGTTTGTGAAATCCTGGTCTTCACCCCATTATGAAATCCTTATGGACTCTGTAGTGGCCGTGGCTGAAACCCCCCAAGCATGTGAATTAGCCCCGTAAGTGGCTGGAAAATGTTTGTGCTTGAATGTCACCCCGTCGGAATGAAGACTGTGCTTGTGCGAAACTCCAGTATGTTCAATAAAATACTTTATTTTGCTACATAAACCCGTCTGTATGCCTTTATGCCTGGCGTGTATTCAGAGAGAGCTGGGGAGATGATAGAAGAGGGCAGCCAAGTTGATTGGGGGTTGGAGCCCCTTCCCTATGAGGAAAGGCTGAAGAATCGGGGACTTTTCAGTTTATAAAAGAGATGACTGGGGGGGGGGGGCCAGATCGAGGCCGGGGTTTATAAAATTGTGCACGTGATGGACAAAGAGAATTTTTTTCTGCCTCTCCCCTGGTACTAGAACTCTGGGACATCCACTGAAGCTGATGGGCCGTAGATTCAGGACGGACAAAAGGAAATACTTTACACAAGAGGTGATTAAAATGTGGAATTTGCTGCCAAAGGATGTAGTGATGGCCACTGACACAGCCAGCCTTAAAAGAGGATTGGATAGATTCACAGAGTCTCCCAATCGCTACTAGCCATAGTGACTGAGGGGAACCTCCACATTCAGAGGCACTAATCCGCTGAATCCCAGAGCTAAGAGGCAATATCAAGGGAAGGCCTCGGGCTCTTTCTGCCCTGTTGCTGGCCCTCCAGAGGAACTGGTTGGTCACTGGGCCAGACAGGATGCTGGGCTAGATGGACCACTGGTCTGATCCAGCAGGGCTCTTTGTCGGACTCCCATCGCATCAACGAAGAACACACTTGTAGAAAAGGTTTTCCTTTATTTGAAGCAATAGGTGCATAACAGGATCACTGTCCAGAATGAGGCATAAGCATGGATCCCAATAGATTATAGTCAATTCAAAAAGCTGAGGCCCAATTGCGGGACTTCCCGCGCGCGCCATTGAGCCTGGGAAGCAACGTTCCCACTTAATCATAACATACTGCTTCTCATGGATAATGCCATGAGATCACCCAAGCTACTACCTGCCAGCAACCACCTGTGGCCTTGAGAGATATGGACGTTCCTGCAACTAGCCAATTAAGCGTATAAACAGGCATACATGGGAAAGTGAAAGCAAACAAGCGCATACCCAAAGAATAAGGATACCTACGAATACACACAGAGCATAGTGAAACATAAGAGCATACACAGAGTACAGGGAAACATACTGGCAGCTTGCTGACACTCTTCTTATGTTATGTTACGTTAAATACCAATAGCAATTTAAACGGCAATATTTAAGTCTGATGTTACAGATGAATAAGTATTATGAAGCTTGGAATCCGCCATCTTGGGGAATATCATGTTAGAACAACTAGAGCACTTTATTAATAATAATGTTACTGTATTGTTGATATTTTAAATGGTTTTAACTATGTTTTATATTGGCTTATGCCTCTGTGTAAGCCGCCCTGAGCCCACGTAGCGGGGAGGGCGGGGTATAAATTGGATCTATAAATAAATAAATAAATATAAACTGTCTGGCAGATTTTCCCAGCCAAATCTTCAGTTCCCCCCAGTGACTGAGTTGCCCTACAGTAGCATGTATATCTTCTCTTTCCTTTTTAGATAAACTTGAAACTTTCCCACCCCTTTGGCTAGATCTTGGTTTAGGCTTTAGACCCAGTAAAGGAACTTGAGGGGTAGACAGGAGCTGTCCTGTTTTTTATAAACCATTGTGAAATGGCACTTGAGGCAGATTAACTTTCAAAAACAGGGGGGAAAAGATTTTATTAAACAGGCAGGGAAGATACGTATAATAGGGTTTTGAGACTGCTGAGGTAAAAACATTCCGATATATACAGAGCTGAATTCTTAGAAAATTCAAGAGAGTGTAATTGTTGCCCTGCAAGGCGCCTATTGCGCCCTTCTGAACTCATAAGTGATAAAAACCTGGACTTCGCTGGTTGTGTGCAAAAGGGACTGAACTGTAAGGTGACTCCAAGTGATGCCAGTTATAGACACACGCCCAGAAGAAGGAAGCCTTACTGTGAGATGATGTGCCTATGGTTCCTGTATGTTACCTACCCTCTTACCTGCAGTAAGATGGACCGGTTCTCTATCCACGTGTAGCGCTGAAAGCCAGACAGTTGCCATGTGGGACAGAAGACCAAAGACGAAGAACTCAAACTCCATGAAGAGTTCTCTTCCTTACAGTGTTATTAAAAAGCGAATGGTTATGACCAATGCTCCCTCTAAACTGTGGAGTCTTGTGAGCAAAAATTCTCCTTTGTGAGCTACTGGCATTAAAGCTGTGAGTGAGCGATTGGGCTACTGCATAAATTAGTTTGCTCTGGAGCCATCCACCCGGAACGAAGACAAAAATGGGTGAGCTGGGGGCTAAAAAACCTGTGTGCTAGCTCACACTAACTCAGCTTAGAGGGAACACTGGTTATGACCCAAGGACATATCCAAAACAATTAAAGAAGAAAATTTGCCCAGTGAGTTTGTGGCTAGACTCTCCAGAAGCTGTTAAAAGAATAAATACCAAGCAAGGAAATACCTTTACAAAGGAAGATGTGAAAGGTTGGACTCTGTTTTATGGGTGGGGTTGATACTGTTGCAAGAATATAGAGTAACAGGGGAAGGAAGTAAAGATGAAGAAGATCACAATAAAGGAAGAGAAGATGAGACTGTTATTTCATTTACTGGGGAAGATCCAGTTTCAAGACGGGGGGTGACTGTTAATTGGGGAAAACAAAAAAGTTCAAAAATAAGAAGATGCTAATCCTTCCAGATGTTTGCCTTATTGATATTGATTTACGCTTTTGTATGACGCTTGGTATAGTCAGACCTGTTGGAATTGATAAAGTAAGTGATACATCTATTGATCACCTTTAACATTAACAAATTTTAATTGTTTAAAACACATTTTTGTTAAGCATAATATGTCCTCCACCACTTGGGTTTTTAGTGGTTTTCTTTACTTTCACCTATAGTTTGTAGTTACCTTTCCTTGTTTCTTTGGAATTTATAGAAAATGCAATAAAAAAATCCCCTTCGGGGGGCAAAAAAGAGAGTTCTCTTTCTTGCACGCAGGCAACATTCTCTTCGCCCACCTAGTCTCTCACCTAGCTGAAGCTACAGCCATAAGACAATCAGGGAATATCCATAACAATGGCTCTGGCCGCATGAGCCATAATACCTTCAGGTGCCACTGCCCAGATGAGTTTTTACTAGATCTCAACATTGTCCACCCCCTTAGATCCTTCCCCTTGAACCCAGTACCAATCAGCATGCTTTTGGGGATGGACCAGCAGGAGGTGTGCCAAAGGAGGTGGCCAAGCCTATCCCACACCTTAAGCCCCCTTATAAAAGAGGGCACCCAGCTCTCTCTCTCTCTCTCCCTGGACCCTCCCCCCAGACTTACCCTAAACCCACGACTCTTGGTTTGCGCAGCCAGAATCTCCACGTGTCACTGCTGGCTCAGGACATGAGCCCATTTCCCTATAGTCTCCCTTGTTTTTCCTAAGGATCGATCCATTCCGCCGAGGTAAAGTATTACCCTGCAACGATTATCCTGCTAATGCGAATGTGCTATCCTCTTCTATCTAAGTTTCCTAGCTCTGTATAACTGTGAGTGTGCTTGAATTATTGTATGTTTGTGAAATATTTTCAGTAAACAAAACCATTCTGTACTGAAGCCAGCCTGTGAGTCTATTTCTGGTGTGTCTGGAGGAAGTGGGACCCCTGTATACATAGGTGCTTGCACCTTTATTTGCCTATTGCCTTGTGTAAGATCATAATTCCCCATAAAAGGTAAAGGTTCCCTTGCTCGAAAGCCAGTCAATTCCGACTCTAGGGTTGCGGTGCTCATCTCCGTTTCAAAGCTGAAGAGCCAGCGCTGTCCGTTTCCGTGGTCATGTGGCTGGCATGACTAAACACCAAGGCGCACGGAATGCTGTTATCTTCCCACCAAAGTGGTACCTATTTATCTACTTGCAATCTCTTGCTTTCGAACTGCTAGGTTGGCAGGAGACTGCTAGTCATTAATAATTTGAAGCAATTTGGCTAACATATTTGTAGTTTTGTTTCAAGGTTTTCTAGTTCTTTCTTTGAGAGGCACTTTGCTTAGTATATTCCAGCACTAACACAGTTCTTATTAATGTTTTTTCTGGAGGACAGTGTTTGCTAAAAGTTTCTAGATTTCTCCCTTCAGAGTTCTAGGTTTTCCCTTTAGATATTACAGCTTTTCACTAACTCCTGAGGTGTCTAAGCTTCTCCCCTTTATCACAGACCCGAGATCTCTTCCCAGCTCCTTTCACTGGCAGGAAGTTATTCTCATCCCTAAAAAGCAATAATCCCTTTTACCATTTGACTTGTATGGGAGTTCACTCTACCTACCCAGACCTTCTGCCAAATCGTTCTCCAGTATCCTTTGTCTGTATAAGGCTGTTCTGTAGCTTTCTTGACTGAGAATCTAAATTCTCCCTCAGAGCAGTTTTAATATATCTAAGATAACGGGGTTTCTCTTCTTGTCTCTGTAGAAGTACTTTTCTGACTATTGCCTGTCAGAAAACACTGACTCCCAAATGTCTTTTCCCTCAGAAGCCAAACCCTCTGGCTACCGGTCCAGATGTTAGATTTCAGTCAAAGACCAAAAGGCGAAAGACCCTTTCCCCCTCCAGATCAGCTTTTTATTCCCTCTCTCAGCTGACGCTGGCCAATCAGAGAGCAAGTAAAGCACCAATCACTTCAGCGTTTCTCTCCAGGGAAGATTAACTCCTAACCTCCCTGACTCTCTGTCCCAAGCAGCATTTTTAAAAGTCTGCTTTTCTGTGCAATCGCTCACACTTGAAATGGGTGCTGATTGCTGAAGGGGACCCCTCTGTCCAA